AGAGAGTGTGGTAGATGCAGCTCAAGTCTACTATCGATATAAACTAATTCACATACAAGTCACCATCCTTGATTCACCAGTATGTTGAGCACACGGTTGTCATCGTCGGCAACGACGGTCGAACTGTCAGGTAGGTCTGATCCAGCTTAGAGGTAGTGGAGCAATATCTCGGACGGAATTAATGCCTAGACAAAGAAAGAAGAACTTTCTCACCGTTTTGATGAACGTTCCGCCTGTTTTGACTGCCTGTTCTTCCTCCATTTGCGATAGGAGTGCTCCGTGGAGGATGAACTGGGCGTGCGACTTTTGTGTCTCCGCGAGGAGGCAGAGGAATGCGAGTGGTAAGACATGTCTAAAAATAAGAAAAAAATGGCGCCCTGGTTAATGCCTACTACTGGAATGATTTTTTTGCAGAAGTTTTTTTTTATTTGCATGAATTTTGCGCGCGTTTGATAACTGCGACGCGGGAATGGCGTGCAACGGTAATTATTGTTGCAGAACTGAGCGCGACAATCCACTCGCGATCGCCAGTGCAGCCGCTCACTCACGTCGCTTTTGACCTGACCAACCTCCAGTACTGCCTGGGCCAATCCACGCGGACAGTCCTTAAGGCTCCGCCCAAAGTAAACGGTCTCCAAGTCTTGTCTCGAGAAGGAATTGGAAACATGCTGCCACGCTTTCCTTTGACGTGATCGAGTTCGCCGGCCAATGGAAGCGCCCTAGGAAGGTCCCTTCCACGTTGTTTCTCGAGGAACAAGGAAGCTCTGGATCCAACGCCGAACTCGCTGGTGGTCGTGAGCGTGGACCGCCTCAAACCTGCTGTCCTGAGCACTCATGGGAACGAGCCCTGTAATCCCCTACCCCTGTTCCTCCACCTTACGACCATATAACACTCTGTGACGTCATGTTCAGTCTCCCGACCGTTGGAGTACTGATTTTCTTAGACTGGAACGATTCCTTAAGCGTCGCACTCGGTTTAACCCGGGGAATACTGTGGCAGTCAGCCCAAGCAATCGTCAATGAGGCCGCTCACTCATGCTGCTTTCGATTTATTGAACTTCCCATGCCGATTCGTTGCTCGAACCACGCGTAACTCAGCCCCAGCATGGCGAGAGCTCGACACCAGTCGACGATTCACTCTTCTTTGATTGGCTGCAGGGAGACAAAGCCGAGGTGCATGCACGTGCTTCGTACAGGAGTTAGCAATATAAAGCGGCTGGGCTCGGCTGGTGGCACACTTGATGTCACTGCGTGCTGTGTCGTGTGTACACTTCCTAACCTCAGTAAAGCTTGTCCAATAACTCTGTCTTCAGAAGATGAAGATGCGATCACTGGAACAAGAAGTTTATTTGCCTGACGTTTCGGATTCTCACTCGAATCCATCATCAGAGACATTCGCAGATAGAGGTGAAGGTGGCACCAGGAGTGCAGTATTTATAGCACGTGGCTGGCGTGGGACCGTATGCGCACTGCAATTAACAGTTCTCGCAATCGCCGCTGGGGTCGTAATTGATGCGGCGGTGGCTTGGCGGTCCGAGTCCGAGTCGTTAATAGCCGTTATTTCGTCATCCGTGCTGGATGCTGATGTGACGATTGCTCGGCAAATTGGCTAACTGCCACTGTGAACATTGCTCGCCCGCGGCCTCCCCACGTGACTGATTCTCCTGCCTAGGGAAAATCTCAGCACGGAATATGGTTCCGGGAGGTCATTGTGCTTGTTGATGGATTGCGGGCCTGAGAACCATGACTTGAGCAGTTCGCGGCTCACGCGGTTGTCATCCCCTGCAGTGAGAATCCGAAACGTCAGGCAAATAAACTTCTTGTTCCAGTGATCGCATCTTCATCTTCTGAACTGCTACCTGGGACTCGCCTGTTCGCTTCTATCAGCAACTCTGTCTTCCCCAAGTTTTGAATTTGGGAGCCTTGCGATGTCGTCGCATTGTACTTCGCGGGACATTTATACTCTTCTCTGGAGCTGATCTCAGCCGACGTGGCATGAGCCCTTTATTGCAGTCGTGTGAGCCTGAGTTGGCCATTAAACGTCTGGGGTGCAGACTTGGGGTGGGCCAGCACCTGCAATTGAAATAGCACTGATTGGCAGATGACGACTGGTATGCCAGAAAAGGCAATCCCACTGTCTCTGTCACTGTCCGTAACATTCTCCAATAACTACAATAGACACGAGGGAGTAGTAATCCCAAATCTCTGCTTTGCCCTCAGGCACAAAAGACGTTTATTTAGCGACGAGTGGTCAACAGCAGTGATTATGAGTGCTCTTGATCGTAGTGGACGGAGTGTGACCCCGTGATTCAGCGGCCAGCAGGTCTGGGGCCAAGCATCGAGGCCCCCGGGAATGAGTTTGCGTATGACTGGCTGAGGACGACCCCCCCCCCCCCTCTTGATATGACAGACATCACGCCCCTCGCGATTCTCCACGATCTGATCATCAGCAGTTTGTCACATGATAAATAGCACAATTTAAGTTCAAAACAGAAGGTGCTACTGTTTCATATTAAGTAGAACACTTATATAAATGGAAATATGACCACAAGTACGAGGCAGTGGGGTTGTAAAGGTGCCTCTCTTCAAGATTTCTGCCTACCCTCAGTTTTTTGTTTGCCATTCCGGCTGCTGTGTTTATCACTCTGCGTCGCATCCGAAGATGTGCTGGTGGGCAGTCTTGGCGATTCCCGTTTGTCCACTACCTCCGTTTCGTCTTCTGACTCGAAGTCTTCACTGTAGGCGTCGGATTCCTCATGATAGCTCACGATCTCTTGACTAACTCCCGCATTTTCGGGCTTTTGTTCCTGCTCCTGTTCGTCTTCAGACGTGAGATTGGCCAAGTCTCCTATGCTCAATAGAGCCGGCGAGTCGTGACTCAACGACGGGGACGGCTGAGATGCATTCTCTGACAGGATTGGGAATCGATTACGGTAGAAAAATATTAGTATTTCTTAGGGACACGAAAGAAACGGCCAAACGTGTCATATTTTTATTTGGCCTCATCGTGCAAAAAGGCAAAGTACACAGAGACCCGTCAACGGAGTGCAGTAATAAAGCACTTTCTAAAGAGGTAACTAAATTAGAACCATTTCTGACGTTTTCGGGATATTGCGATTTTCTAAAGAAATCGGTATTTCTAAACAACGCAACACTGCCTTTAATATTCCTTTTATGTTTTTAATTCTTTTAAACTTGTAATTAACTAACATAGACATTGGACTCATGAAATGGTGTCGGTTTGCGAGTGATTGGCAATCATTCGTAAATTTCGACGCATTTGATGAGTTAGTTCACTAACTGTAGTTGCTCTTGCAGGCACACCGGAAACTTAACATCAAATGACTAAGCAAAAATAAATTTTTCACACTCTCCCAAGGCATCTATAAAATTAAGGGAGTCTTGTAGTCTTCTGGTGGATTCTAGATTTGTTACTTATGAAGTCCTGTTTGGACAGGCAGCCCGCTCTATCATGGCTGGGCGGGCGACTTGACCCAGATGTGATTAAACTCACGGTTCCCGATGGGACCACGGAACTCAGGTGACTAGTGTTGGCTGCACTCAAGCCTTGCCCTTGCTGTCGTGGGTCTAAATCCCACCGAGGTCGCTGAGGTTTTCACAGTTAGGTCAACATACATTACTCAAAATCTGACAAAACGCCTAATAAGCGAAAACGCTGAAATTATCTTTACTTACAACAAGCCTACAGACCTAATGGTCGTTCAAAGAACACCAGGTCAACGACGAAGATTAATAAGCTGAAGACTTTGATATAATGTCGAAAAAAGACTAGGAATACGGAGACGTATGTAAGGACTGTCGGCTACACAGGGCAATTCTGTTAGATGCGGCAGTCAGTTTGTTTGAAGCAACAAGATGTCAACTGCTGTTCCGCGGTGATAACTACCCTCCGATATGCTGTGAGGTTATTGAATAGAAAGGTCCGAATATACCGGCAATATATAGTTACAAAGAAGGAGGTATTGTAGTGTGTTGTCGTTGCATCGGTCAGTATATTTGGAGTAAACGACAGAAGTCCTGAAAACTCCACTTAGACAGTACAGGTGTAAGGAAAAATAGTTAAGTAGCAGAAAAATTAACATGCAGTTTTAATGTGCAGAATGCATAAATCTAATAGTGGAACATAAATGCGAAAAAGTTGTTCACTGCATTCGCACTGTGCAAATTTCATATGGGTCGAGTTTAATGCACAAAAAGGACCTGTTGAAATCATGTTAGTAGTATGTTTATAGTAAATCCCGTAATCCGCATCAAGCACCTATCATGTCGTGGATGTGGCATTCACCTCCTTGGGCTGCCTGAAGACTAGAGTACAAGAGGTTCATTTTGCCTTACAATCCAACACTTATATATGAACTTGAACATTTACAGTCCCATCCAACAGAAGGTGGGCCCGCGCCTCAGCTGGTAGAGCTTCATGTTTAATAATTGACTAAATATACATTTCAGTTTAAGTCATAGGTCTTCCATGCAGCGGGCTGAGAAGACTGCCGATTAACGAGGGCAAATATGTCAGAGACGATTATTTGAACCTCCCAGGTTTACGACTGCAAGCCAGGGGGTTCAGTAGTGCCTGCTTGGTGAACTAGGCGTTAATGACTGCGATTCCGAACACACACCTAGGCGCGGTCCCCCTAGTCCTTATTTGCACAGGAACGGAAATCAACGAAATTCCTCAAACAGTTGGGGAAGCGTCGAAAAATTCCATAAGCAGGGGAAAATTACCAAAACAAGGTTGCCTTACTGACTGACATGTAGCGAGTCTGGCTTTTGGGCGAAAATAGTTTTAATAGCTTGTGCCAGTTATGAGTAGCAGACAGGCTTTTTACCGAGGATTGGAAAGAGTTAGTTTCAAGCCTTTTGTCTGCAGGAAGTTGGAACTTCGGCAAGACACGGGAGAAGGAAGCCCACCCCCATTCGGGGGGGGAGAGTGGTGTTAGCAACAGGGTAAGGATTAGATTTAAGTTTAAGTTGAGGGCCAACGTTGGAGTTAAGCCAAGGGTTAAGATTAAGGCAGGGTTAGGGATTCGGTTAGCGTTACGACCACAACACGGAATGTTCACCCCTCCTGGAATTTTGCGCGAGCGGAAAGTTCTGTCATATCAAAAGTCCTTCAAAGGAAGTACTGATAAAAGGAACATTCCCGCTTTAGAAAACCGGTAATTATAGGAATCATTGAAACATCCTCATAAAGGCGTGGACAGTGTACACTTCGATCTACTCTAAACGCATCTGGATATAAGGCCTCTTCTTCGTGTGGAAAGCAAGAGTAAAGTTTTTTTTAGAGAACAGCTTAGACAAAGTGAAACCCAGGTGCTGGTTGTAATCTTAACGGAATCACCGGATCACTTTCTGATGCTGGGAAAATTCTGACATTTCAACCAGCAACTTTCAAGGCGGTCCATTTTTTTCAGCAAAATGATGGGAAAAACAAAAGCCTTTGCGAAGAGTTTCTGTAAGAGCTGGTTGAGGGTACAGAAGCCTCTGCAGAAGAAAGTGAAGTAATTCTCAAGTTGATCGAAGCTGGCTTCCTAGCACCACTCCAGCAGGTTATCATGTGAGAATTAATTTGGCATTGTGTTACACACTAACTTCAATCGCTTGTCACATTAAGTCATCGACTTTGTTAATAGATCCCTGCAAATCCGGGATAATGTTTTCGGAGATCCGCGTGTACACAGACTGCTGACCAAATTGTCTCCTGCAGCTGTTCTGCATAGGTGATCAGGAACTGCGACATTCCGCACGTCAGTGTTTTATTCCAGTTGTACCTTCCTACTAAGTGAATATTAGTAACCAGGCCTTACTCGAGTAAGAGTTTGGCTACTTGCATTCCCACTGGTCGACTCCCCGTGTTTGTTGTTCTCGACTCATTCGCATTTAAACAGACCGCTATGTATTGGTGTCATTCGCGAGATTGCTGTTCTAATACTATCGAATATATGTCCACCTTTCATTTTTTATATCTATCCTTGTTAACTCTGTTGTGCTTTGTTTATCTTAATGCCTATTATTACAGAGCCACAAAAAATATTCGAGTCAATCAGACTGCGTTATAGCGTTGCCTTTAACCTCGGACGCGTATGATCTGATTAAGGAACTACCATTGCACCAAGACAATCCATTGAATATTAACGTCAATCAAAGTAAAACGATAAAAATTGCGTCGGAATTCGCTCTTTGAAATGCGTGAAGGTAAGCCATATAATAACCACCGAAGTAGTTGTAAGGCGCATTTCATGTTACTGATAGTGACACGAACGTTTTTTAAATTGACCGCTTTGAATTTAGAAATACACTATCTAGTAGGGAAGCTGCAAGTTCCCAGACACAACTTGCGCAAAATTGGAGTACTCATAAAATTTCAGGGCACACCGCACTCATGACTATTGGGTACTGTTTGTTTCATTGTCTAGAGGTTTATAAGTCCTTGTAAACAGTACTTGATCAAACAAACAATTTGGACGACTATTCAGGTAATCAAAGTTCACTTTTATCATTGTTGATACTATAACTCTCAAAAACATAAACATCCAAAGAAATAAAGGCGTATCTTATGTACAGGGGCTCAATCATGCCGTTAAACGGACCGGAAGGCATTACAACCAGGCAGGCAAAGAAAACTCTTGTGGAGTTGGTGCGGATCCTCAGTACGTCCTGGACTTTTCTCTACAGGAGAGTTTTACTTGTCCTATCTGGGATCCTAGCATCGATCTTATCCGAGGACAAGACCTTAAACATCTCGGCCGTTTTGAAGTAAGGGGTCTAATTTTTCCCCAAAAAGGGAAAGGAGGGGAGGAGGAGGAAGAGTGCTGACATGTCGAGGCGCAAGCTTCACACCGCATCAGCCATTCGCACGCGATTTCCACATCACATGGCTGACCGGCTCTGAGAACGGACTGATGTAAGGGGGAGGGAAGAGAGAGAGAGAGAGCGTGAGGTCGACACTTGGAAGGATATAAACTGACTGGGCAACTCGACACTCTCGGGATGGAGAGTCAGATTGCAATGGTCCCTTTTTAATGTGTCCTCTATGGCACTTCCATTCGACTGCGATACCAGCCGCCCCTTTTGTTTTGCGAGAAACTCTGTGCGTATTTGTGGACACGACCCGTGGGTGGCCCGCGTAGAGGGGTTGTTTAACCTTGCCAGTCCCTGTGCCCCAGCCCACCTCTAGTCGTCCTAACTCAGTCTTGTCACTAAGTTCACGCGTGGAAAACGTTGCATAAGTCTGCTATCGCTATGAACTAATTCCCGCTGTGGATATCATCGTTCGCGACGACCGAAATTACAGTTGAGTAGTTTATCACATCGTCGACCGCAAGCTCTCTTTCCCTACCCACATTGTTCCAATAATAAGGTCAGTGTGACGCACGGTGGGCGAGGACGCAGTGGCCTGCTGAGCTAGGTGGCACATCTACGCGCGCCACACACGAGCCAGTCCTCAATTCCGAGTGTCAGGCTGCAACAAGGTAGGTTCGAGCATCAGTTTGTTATTACTGACAAAGACAAGTGAGACTGGAATGGCCATTTTTGGCTTATTAGCCGTCGTCAGCAAGTCATACCCAACCTCGAAGTGTGGAATACCCGAGGCTCGAACTCTCGACCTGTTGCTTTAGAAGTCCATACCTCTAACCACTGGGCCACGAGCCCGTTGCCCTGTGGGTTTTTGATCGAGAATATACAATGGTAGGGGGCGCTCACCGATCGTTCTTACGGAATACTCTCGTTCCGTCGTGCCTTACAGACTCTCTCTCGAGCCCAACCAGCAGCCGCACAACGGCGCATGATATAGGCAGTATGGTATGGCGTGGACTTCTAACTAACAGGTCGCGAGATCGAGCTTCGGGTGTTCCACGCTTCGGGGTTGGGTATGACTGGCTCACGACGGCTAATAAGCAAGAAATGGCCATTCCAGTATCCCTAGTCTTTATCGGTAATACCATGCGCCGCTGTGCGGCTGCTGGTTGGACTCGAGAGAAAGCCTGTAAGGCACAACGGAACGTGTGAGTTCCGTAAGAACGATCGGCGAGCGCACATCTACGCGTGCCTCACACAGCCAGTCCTCAATTCCGAGTGTCAGGCTGCGGCAAGGTAGGCTCGGTCGTCACATATGTCAGGATGCCGTAAAGGTCACAATAGAATAGGGGCCGTTGCAGCCTGGGACTCGGTCTTGCAGATACCGAGTCAGTCTACAGCCTCCCAAGACCTGTAAAGTCACTGAATATAATAAAACTATCCTACCTTCCCGGTAGAATGTTACCCAGACAGCGAAACAGCCGCTTTACTAGTCAGAAAGAACAGCATATCGATCGGTTCTCAGGACTTACAGGCATGACTGGGATAGCAAAAAGGCAGATCCAAAATATAAGGGGGTCTTCAGTCCGATTCTCTTTCTTGACAAACACTTGCCGCCAAAGTGATGTCCCCAGTTGCCACACGCGCCCTCAGAAAAAGTTCTAGTTTCTGACGAAGATAGGCGTTGTGCGACTGAGTTTACGACGGGGGTAATCTACACATGTATCTTTCCCCTGCCATAACCATGGCGACCGCGATTGGGAAGCAATATTATGACGGCCATTGTTGACGAGAGTTAGGGATGTAAACAGAAGGCGGCATCGTTCGGAAATGGGAGATTCGCGTAAGGGACGCTGACAGTGGAGTATAACTCAGATACAGTGAATGACCGATTACAGGAAATGTTGGCTGAAATTCGGAAATGCGTTTTCCATTAGGAAGAATTACTTGGTCGCGGTTGTAATACTGACCATCTTGCGGCATAATCTTATAACATTTCGGACTCGGCAGGATGTTAGCTTTTGAATACACTGCCTTTCCATCTCCTGTAGAAACCGTAATCGACAAAAAATGGTTACTTAAGCAGCATGCATTTTTCCCCGTTGATTTTCGATGGTCTTGAAAATTCAAATATATCTTATAGAAGCCATAAACAAAATCATGCTTTCTTTCAGTCAATTAATAACGAATCACGTCTTTTTTATAGCTCATACTCAAGGAGGGAGTACAATTAGGTTTTAAAAAAAGTTTCTAATTATGAGAGTTTTTAAGACCGCGCGATGTCCATTCACATAGCATCGTAACTGACCGTATACCACAGCTCCTCATGAAATGTACAACATAGTCCGCATCCATTGCAACATTTTATGAACTCTGTATGATATCTTTTTAATAATATAAAAAAATATGTGATTTTCTTTACGCAGAACGCATGCACCTTGCGGGCAGAAATCTCTAAGCGCTAATGCAACGAATGACCAGGCTTCAAATTATTCGGCAATTAGAAAACTTTTTTAAAACCTAACTATACTCCTTCCTTGAATATCAACTATAAAGAAGACGTGATTCTCTATTAATTGACTGAAAGAAAGCATAATTTTGTTAATGGTTTTTATAAGATATATTTGAATTTGCAAGACCATCGAAAATCAGTGGGAAAAATGTATACTACTTAAGTAACCATTTTTATCGATTACGGTTTCTACAGGAGATGGAAAGGCAGTGTATTCAAAAGCTGACATCCTGCCGAGTCCGAAATGTCACAAGATTATGCCGCAAGATTATCAGTATTACATCCGCGACCAAGTAATCCTTCCTAATGGAAAACGCATTTCCGAATTTCAGCCAACATTTCCTGTAATCGGTCATTCACTGTAGGAGCTTTTATACGGTGCAACTGCGGCAGGGACAGGATGGAAATAAAAAAAACAAGTAGTCGTGTGCACCCGAAACAAAAAAAACTCACCTTCGAGGAGTGAACTCTCCGCACCAGAAACCAAGTCGTCGACAGTCAATAAAGTTGTACCCAAGGGCGTTTCCACTACAAATAAGAGACGAAGAGATGAAGTCCTACCTCATAAAATGGCGTTGAAAAAAATAAACCTGCGGAGGGAATCACCTTTTAAGGACGGTCGTAAAGTATTCTATTTGTAAGCTTGGTTCTGAGCATTTTACTTCCTAAACAGTTAGAATCACATATAAACATGAGGTATTAATTTACTTGTTGTAAATGCCTTAAATCAACCATGTAGGGCTTAAGCTGGGGCTGCTGACAATAATGGTTAGCAGGAGGGGATTACAACGAGGGCATGATAGGCTAAGTTGGCCACTTCACGTTTATTGGTTGTCGCTAGCCAGTCACGCCTGACCGCAGACCTGGTTAACTTAGGATTCGAACCAGGGTTTTTGGCTATTGGGCATTTATAAGTACAGCGTTTCGCCTTTGAGCCACGAGCTCCTTCTCTTCTCAATTGTACTCGGGAACATGCATCAACGTAGGACGGGCGTTAATTGATCAGGTTTATGGATATGTTTGTCCCATCCAACAGGCTGAGATCAAGCAAAATACGGCGATGTCCCACCGTCTAACCAAATTAAATTCGAAGTGGTAGGCCCATCGTCCACTTTTAGTTTGAGTTACAGGCATCTACGGGGCGACCTCATGCAGACTTTCCGTGCCATGCGCGGACAGGACTGCTGTCTCGTACCTGAAGACTTCTTCGAGTTAGCAACTACGACTAACCTGCGAAGTCATCCACTTGAACTGAGTGTGACTGGTGTCAGACTGGACACCCGGCATGAATTTGAAACAGGCATACACAGCAGAATAAGGTCCCATAGAGCTAACCTAAGCTACTAGGCCAGCGCCTGTTAGCGACAGCGGAAGCGGCCGCCGTTAGGTTGCGAAACCCAATCTTGTACGCACGGAAGAACCGCGTTCAGGCTCCGCGCCTACAGTGGTCGAAGGCCGAATAACGCTGCAACTCTCCGCACCCTTCCGCTCTCACCCCGCCTCTGACACTGACCGCTTTTACCCTCCCCCCTCCTCCCCCACATTCCCACACCCGGACTATGTTTCAAGACGAACTTTTATCGATTTCTCTTACCGCTGACATGTTTTACTTCTACCCCGCTCCCAAATAACTGTACTGGCCCGAAGATAATTTATCGAAAGCTACTTATGCTCGCCACCTCGTCTTACAGCAGAATATGTTGGAACCAACAAATTTCGCAACGGCTTATCAACTGCTACCTGTTGCTGCATAACAGAGATAACGAGTGAGAAAGAAACAGAGATTCGAACTTCCACAGAGAAGATCAGTGTAAAACAGCAAGGCCATAGTTTACTATGCGCAGACTAATCAACAAAGTGCGACATAAAAACACGACTGAGGATGGAAAATGGGGAAGTTAACACGCAGAGTGGTGTGCGGATCAGAGGGCTGAGATTTGCTAGGGCAAGCTGAGGTTGGCCACGTGGTCCGACTGTTTGCGTTGGTCGGATATTTTACGCCGTATGTAGGTTGCCTCCAAGTAACGCAAGGTTCGGGTTGTTCGTACCCGAAATAATACTCGGAAGGATGTTTTGGGGTCAACGGAGTGACAGCTATCTAGGAAGTGCTTCGTAATAGAAGGACGTAGAGTTTTATTTTCCTGGCTAGAAGCCATTTAGGCAGGTGCTCAACTGACCTGTTTTGCAGCGACAGGTTGCAGTTGGTAAGCCGTCGAGAAATTTGTTTGTTCCATTAAATTTTGATGTGCATGCCTGTTTCAAATTCATACTAAGGAAATATTGTTCTAAACTTCTCACACGAAAGTTTGTCTTCTCCAACAAAGTGGTTGGAGCATGAAATACTTTAGCCGAGGATGTTGTTATGTCTGCATCCGTAGAAGCTTTTAAATGAAAACTGGTTAAGTATTGAAGTACGCACCAAAATCCCATCCGACCGCTGTCATCTTGATGCCTTATGCGAAAAATTTACTGCCATCATCATGCTGCTAAAACCTTTAAGTAACATTTGTTGGTATAATTCGACGGAATAAGTCCGTTGGGAGAAGTAATAGACTTTGCTGGTTTCCCAGGTTGTCGTTGCTTTCGCGATGTGCGTCAGTTTATATCGAATGGCCTTTGTCCCTTCCATTTTTCCTTGAAATATGTGCATACAGCATCCAGACAAATATGCCGATTGACTCATTAGAGTGCATAGCTTCGAGAAACTCGGCCTTTTTGATGGGGCCGACGCCGATGATACGAGTTTCGTCCGAGGCGAAGGTGTACCCAGTATCTAGGGTATGCATGGCTACTTGGCACAGATGATCTCGCCTCTTAATTGCCAGTTGGTGCTCGTGGATGCGTATAAAGGCAGATTTTACCGTCTGGCCACAATATACGGCATTGCAAGCACCGCATGGAATCTTGCCGACGACACCTTTTATCAATATATCCTCTACGCACATCCCTATTGACATTCACCATGACGCCTGCAGACTCCAGATCATGCCAACTTTTCTCTAGAACGGGTACACAACAAATAACTACTGAATTACGCGCCTACGTGTGTACATATGCCTTTCAATGTTGCTAACGCACAAGGTGCTTGCTCCACCTGTACGGTTTTTGATATTTCCTTCGTAGTTATTTGAAGTCGCCCCTTTTCCAAACTCTTGACATACTTCCACAGAGTAACAAATAGGGAGTTCAAAGGTGCACACCTACATTTCTCTCAAATAAACTGAACTGACGTACTGTTGCTACTATTACTCCTAGGACTCCATATGGCTCGCGGGTCAGCCATCTCATTACCTATTTCTAAATCCTTCTATACGTATTTAATATTTTTTTTCTGCAAAATATTTTTTCAGGGAAAAGGACTCCCTGAAACAAGCGAGCACAGCAAAGAAAGGAGCTTGCACAGCGGCGTAAAGTGGAGGCAAACATACACCAATTACTTTGTCGAGGGACACAACTGGGTTATCGTCTTACGTATATTAGAAGCAGCACGTGGTTTCGGTGTGTACGTATGCTCTTGTCTGTCCCGCGAAGTTTGGCGCGAAGTGGAGTGATTGGTCATCGATGTTGCGTAGGTGGCCGGGGCGTCCCCGCGAGACCCCTGACGACGCTCAACCAGCGTCGAAGACACTGTGCCTGGGCGGTAGGACTAGTGCAAAAAGGAATGAAATCAGAAACAGAAGCCCAGAAACAGCCCCACGGAGGGGGTTTTAATTCACTTTTGACGTGGGCAAAATGCGGGCGGGGTCGAGATAAGGGGCAGTAATGACTATAATCCCACACTAATTTATACAAAATGGCACCATGGCTTCCCGTCTTTTTTAGTCGACTGGTAAAGTCAGGGACAAAGACAGTCGCTTGGGCGGTGCGCGCACATTGAACTATGTAGAAAGGAATGCCAAAAGAAAAAAGAGAGACTGGGATTGCCATTCCTGGTTTATTGGCCACATCCTGTCGCCTGAAAAGACCACACGCTACAAAAAATGAACACTTAAGTGGTGGACCTTTTTCCATTGATTTTCGATGGTTTATAAAAAAAACGCATACAAGTATTATTTCTTGTAATCATTTAGCAGCAGATTACCAGAAGAAAGGGTATCTCTAGGTTTTAAAAGACTTTTTAAATTCCACAAGAAGTTTGAGCTCGATCCATCGTTAAATCCGGGTTGCGGTCTACAGACTGTATAGTATCCGTGTAAACAAAAACATATATTCCCATAAGCCACTAAGAAGACGTGTCACGGGGATCGTAATATAGCAGAGCAGATTCGGGCTATGTTGTATACTTAATTAGAAGCATTGTTGAACAGACAGATACGCTGCTATTTGAATGGACATTTTACGGTCTTAATTAGAACCGTAAGATAGCCATTTTTAGTATGAGATTCGAAGGACACGTGATTTGCTGCAAAATGTATACAGGCAAAATATTTTTAAGCATCCATCCTACAAAATATATTTATATTTTCAAGAACTTCAAACATAAATAGAAAGATGTATACTACTTAAGTAGTCGTTTTTTTACAAATGCAGCTTTTGGGCAATAAAAAAAGAGTGTATCAAAAGCCAACATCCTGGTGTCTCTGAAATATCCCGAGATCAGGCCGCCAGGTAATCAATCCTGCCACACCACTCAAGAAATTCTTCCTAATCGAGAACGCCTTTCAAAATCTCAGTTGACATTTCATGAGATCGGTCACCGACCGTAGAAGTGTTTATATCAGAGCTTTCTGTGCGAAAATACCTAACTGCTCATTAATGCTGAGGTGGCTGATTTCTAGGCGCCTAGGCGCCTTCGAGGTAACACTCGTAAGTGGAGTGTAGGCGAGCCTCAACCAAACATGCTAATAATCACGGTAGGGGGCGCTCACCGATCGCTCTTACGGCACTCACTCGTTCCGCTGTGCCTTACGGGCTCTCTCTCGAGCCCAACCAGCAGCTGCACAGCGGCGCAGGAAATAAGCAGAGTGGTATTACCGACAATGACAAGGGAGACTGGAAGGGCCATTTCTGGCTTACTAGCCGTCCTCAGCTAGTTATACTCAACCCCGAAACGTGGAACACCCGAGGCTCGAATTCGCGACCTGTTTGTTAGAAGTCCACACTTCTAACCACTGGGCCACGAGCCCGTTGCCCTGTCGGTTTTCGATCGGGAATGTACAATGGTAGGGGGCGCTCACCGATCGTTCTTACGGAACTCACTCGTTCCGTTGTGCCTTACGGGCACTCTCTCGAGCCCAACCAGCAGCCGCACAGCGGCTCATGGAATAGGCAGCATGTTATTACCGACAAAGTCAAGGGAGACTGGAATGGCCATTTATGGCCTATCAGCCGTCGTCAGCCAGTCATAACCAACCCTGAAGTGTGGTACACCTGGGGCTCGAAACCCCCCACGAGCCCGTTCGTTTGCGATCGGGAACGCACAATGGTAGAGTGAGTCCCGTAGAAACGATCGGTGAGCGCCCCCCCCATCCCCTACTACTGTATATTCCCGATCGAAACCGACAGACCAACGGGCTCGTGGCCCGGTGGTTAGAGGCGTGGACTTCTAACCGGCAGGTCGTGAGTTCAAGCCTCGGGTGTTCCACATTTCGGGGTTGGGTATAACTAGCTGAGGACGGCTAGTAAGCCAGAAATGGCCATTCCAGTCTCCCTTGTCTTTGTCGGTACTACCATAATGCTAATAACCCCTGTAACTTGTCCGCGCTCCCAGGCCTCAACACAGGGCACCGAATAGACAGACACTAGTCCCCAGGCTTTGACGTAGGTCCGCATTTCATAAAACACCTTCTTGTCCGTGAGAATACAGGAACTTACAGTAGGTGTGCTAACTCATGAAATGTTAGCCGGAATTCTGAAATGCGTTTTCGTTTCGCAAAAGATTACCTAAGTAGGGTTGTAAAATTAACCATCCTGCAGCATAAGTCTATAATAATTCAGTTACCCCAAGATGCGGGCTTTCAAACGAAATTCTTTCCGGCTGCATGCAAACACTACATTCTGTAAAAAATGGCTACTTAAGTATCATGAATTATTCTCATTAATTTTCGGTGCCTCTAAAAATTTAAATATATTTCATGGAAAGAATGCATAAAAATATGTATTCTTCTACTCATTTAGTAAAAAAGTACGTCTTCTTTCAATTTTATACTCGAAGAAAGGGTATAATTCGGTTTTCAAAAAGTTTCTAATTGTGAGATTTCTAATACCGTGAAATGTCCGTTCATAAAACATCGTGTCCTGCATTAGTTAATGTGGCCTATAAAGTTTACAATATGGCTCAAATCCATTTCCAAATTTTATGATCCCCATTAAGTTTCCTCTTAATATCGTACAGGAATGAACGGTTTTCCGTACGCTGAAAGTATATGGATTGTGGTTTGGAAACTCTGAATGCAAGTGTAACGGCAGGTCGTGCTCAAAATTATACGGGAGTGGGAAAAGTTTTTTAAAACGGAATTATACCCTTTCTTCGAGTATAAAACTGGAAGAAGACGTAATTCGTTACCAAATGAATAAAAGAACGAATACCGTTATGCATGTTTTCCATGGAAGATAATTGAATTTTAAAGGGCACCGACAATCAATGAGAAAAATCCATGCTAATTAAGCAGTCATTTTTTTACAGAGTGTGGCTTTTGCAAGCGGCCAGAAAGTTCGTTCAAAAGCCGGCATCCCAGGGTAAATGAATTATTTTAGAGTTATGTTGCACGATGATTAATTCTTTAACCTTACTTTAGTAATCTTTTCGGAACGAAAACGCATTTCTGAATTTCGGCTAACATTTCAGGAGTTAGCACACCTACTGTAGGCAAAAGGCGGATGCGCAAGAACTAGAAATGATCCTTCTATTCTTCACTGTCTCCCTCAGTGTCTTTTCTGCTGTCGCCCGAAAAGGTTCTGGAGAGGGGTTTCAAGGCGAAGCGGATTGCACTTCTCTGAATCGAGGTTCTCCTAGTCCGGGGTAGGGCCGATCAGGAAAGGCGAAATAGCCACTCCGCCTACTCTCCATCGGCAATAATTCAATGCTATTCACTGTATCGGCCAGATCGGGTCCACCCACAGGGAATGATCGACTTTTGCCATCATGCTTTAGAAGACCACGTCGTGACAGAAAACTGAAACCAAGCAAACTTTGGCGGTGTCTGTTACGTTACCCGAGAAGTAGGAATCCACAGAAGCCCTATGTCTCCATCGACAGGCCGTCAAGTTCAGAGTTGAGCCCCTTTGACTTCGGCTGACAAGACATCAAGAGTAGGGATGATTCGTACTATGACACATCTTGTTTTCGCTGGTCGCGCTGAAGACCATCTTCCGTTTTATGTGTATTCTATACTTTCCAAAGTGCAATGACGACTGCTGAACATGCCTAGTCTTTAAGGAAGCGCTTTTTTCAAAGTCCAAATTGGTCATCCATTATTGCCATGGGGGATTATTCTCCAATGCATCTATTGGCATAAGAATCTACTGTTTTGACAAAAGCTGGGCCCAGTACTTTCCGAGGTAAGATCGCAGTTGGTAGCCAGGCCCTGTACGTTGATACTGTCGACGTACTTACTTGTTATCAGTGGGGGTGTTTAACTTGTCTAGGGAACTGGTTATCAGTAGGTGTGCTTCTACTGCGTGAGGTAGGTCGGCCATTCCGGTCAGGCTGTTGGGTTTAGTGAGGGTTACGGTTAGGCGTAGGTTATGTTTCATGATTAGGATTTGCGTAAAGGGTCCGGTTTCAGTGTTAGGGCTAGGGTTTAGGTTTACGATTATGGTTAGACTTTATGGTTGGGGATCGGCTTCAGGGTTAGGGTTACCGGTTGACGATTAACGGTTAACGGTTTGGGTTAGGGTTAAGATAAAGTTTAGGGTTAAGGTTAAGGTTAGCGTTAAAGCTAGGATTAAGGTGAAGTTTAGGGTTATCCTATCACTATTTACCTCTTTCTTTTTCCGCAGGCTGTGCTGTATTCCGCGGGATTTTTTTCAATTTCTACCATTACTCTACCTTACTAAAATTTCCCAACATTTTTTTCGTTTGCTTTATTTTTTCCTCGAAACTCCAGCATTTGTTCAGCAGCACTTCCACTTACCCCACCCATATAACACTCTTTCCCACCATTCCTGTAAGACAGAGACCCCGCCGTCCGCCTCCCCGTTCCTGGCTACCAACTGCGAGCTAACCCTTTCCGAAAACTATGCAAGGTCAGCAAACCAAAAACACAACTGAAGTCGGATTTTATGGCATTGTGGGTCAACGTACGTCTTGGTCCAAGTAGGACCTCTGTGAGGAGGGGGGCAGCGTCAGGGTTGGTGTTTTTGTTGGAGTCCCTTTGCCCTCCTGTAGGCGGCTGCTGCGCGCAGACCGATAAGGTGGCGTCGTCTTCAGATTAGATTCCAACTCGGACCCTAGGTAGAGAAGAGAGGCACCGAAACACTGGGTGAAATACACTGTTCTCAGGGGAAAGTTCTATGAACCGGTGCAACGGCGGTTCTCTGGATGATGCTCTATGCCTATGCAGACTCAACCCGGCTAATGATGCATCAAGTTAAAACATCGGATACCAAAGTTCGACTACAGAAGAGTGTAACTTCTGTTCCAGCAATCGATTTCTCGATACTTTATTCAACACTGAGCAATCTGCCTTGTCTTAATCGGGTAGCTCGGTAGAGGTCAACATTGAGAGGCCAAGAGGGTGAGAAGGCGTGATATTACAAACTGTGACGCCAATGCCGAATTCGTGATTGCCATCGGAACCTTAATGCAAACAATCAGCATTCTTTAAAACCTTGGCACTTTAGTGGACGGTACTGCATCCCTGATGCAGGCCGAACAGGCATTTTAAAACATTGAAAGTTAATATATATTGTTTTTCCTGCGAGGGTCTGGAAGTATGCAAGTGCAAAAACGATAGATGGACATTTTAAATGCCCCAAATGTGCCAACAAACAAGGTTTTAACAATTCTGTATTTTTTCCAAAGAGACAAACAAAATGGACATGTGGAACGGACACCCCAAAGAAAGGTAGTTCCCTTGCCTTAGCAGAGATCATAAAGAAACAAAACACATAATAGCCAGGTGGAAGAAAGCACGGAAAAAATTAAGACCACAAATGCTGTGGGACTTCTCATTGCTCATTCAATCGACCGTCATAAGCCGCCTTGTGTTCGGTCGCAAATACTACCCGAGACTATACAGGGCTGGAGGACAGTAGTCGAATGCAAAAAGTTACTGCTTTTGTTCTTGCTGCCGTTATCAATTCACATTTAACGATGTTCGCAGAAGGAAATCTGTTCTAGTTGAGTGTCGCAGTCGAAAAAATAACCATCTTTTTACGGCCTACCACAGCAACAGGTGGAGAGATCATAAATAAACCAAAAGCTCACATTGCCCCAACTGTGAAAAACTCGGCGCCTTGGTGGGATTCGAACCCACGACAGCAAAAGGAAGGCTTTAGTACAACCAACGCTCCAACTACCTGAGCTACGAGGCCCCACCGGGAGACGTAAGTTTAGTCCCAATTGGGGAAGGTTACTCGCCCAGCCTACTACAACGTCTGGAATCCACCAAATCTGATACAGTAAACCGACTGAGGTAATAACAGGGCCAGGAGGACAATCAGGAGTTTCTGACCTGCTCAGCGCTTTTTCAATCGGCTATCATCACCCAATTTATGTTTGGTCGCAGATACTGCTCGAGGGTATACAAGGCTGAAGGACAGTATTCGGCTACAAAGGGTTACTGCTCTAGCTTAAACACTCAATGATAAACGCGGCGGGAAGATTGTTCTAGTTAAATGCTGCAGTCCCAAGAAAAACCGCCACGCGAACAGGTGTGCAATCAAAAAGTGACTTATCAGTCTCTCACACTGCACTTAGATTGGTTGTGGTTTCCCAATCAAGAAGCTTCTTATGTCTCGTCTAGACTTTATAAACTAGCTCCTTGTGGAAGAAGAATCCAAGGCAAGGGTGCGGGTGGAATGATTCACTTTATTTTTTTGCGACGCCGAATTAATTTTGTGAGCCTTCACTTCCCATCGTTTGCACCGGAAACAGGCAAACTCTGTGCCAGGGAGAATTGATGCTGTCCCATGAAACGAATGCAGATGGCAGGCATATCAGCTCTAGCCGCTAGACCCGTACATGGCTGTATGCTACCAGCCGAGTGGCTAGTATGTTCTCGATTAAAACTCCTTTGGCAGATAATCAGTCCGGGCCGGGGCCTAAGTTTCAACCAGTGCACCGCCATAAAAGTATATTCTGTTGAGTTTGCCACTAGTAAAACGTACGTCCGACTATGCATCTCACCAATTTGGATCGAACCCGGTCAGTTTGAAGAAAGACGCGATGGGCAATAGACTGGCACTGTGTAACTTACAATGAGTGATAAACAACAAAAAGAACAAACTTTCCTGATTTGTCCACCGAAGAAAATCTGCTGAATTTATATATGCGGAAATTGTAGATAAGGGAGATGCAAAACAAGTTTAAAAGATTGCTACAAACCTTCATCTAGTGAGTTGTAGGAGGAGGAGATTGAGTATGAGTCCTTGTCGGATGGTGGAAGTTTGGCCTTATTTCCACCGTCCTCTATGGCCTTCCTTCGTTTTCGTAATAAAAAGTCTATTGAAGTCAAGACGCTAGCAGACAAACTGACAACATCAAATAAGTAGCTTAAATTTAGGTAAACATAGAATTCCCGACGCAAAAGACCTACGTATCAAACAGTAAGAATAAACCAAGTTGTCGTTATTAAGGCGTTGCTCCAAAAAGATGTCCTTGAGAAGAATGCCTTTTTATAGCACCATCATTTTTTGAAAAATAATAAAACATTTCCGATGCTTCTGAATCCTAAGAACAACATAGCTAGAATCTAAAACGTATCCAAAACCTACGATTTTGAGATGAACGCTAATGTACTCATTACGACACCCAATTAAAAACGTTCATTTGAACATGCACATTAAGAAAGAGCAGCGAATCAGAGAAAAAATCAGAGAAAAATCAGAAGTTTCACCACCAACTCAGGAGGCAGTTCTAACAGTTGTATTGCGTCCTCTAACTGTTCTGCTGAGAAGACAAAATCAAGGCATCAAGGTATCAAGGTAAAGGCGTCGAAATGACAAGTGCGACATATAAGAAAATATATTTACGGGCCTTTATATCTTATAGAATGCAAACTGCACGGGGATGAAGCCATAATCTCGAGTGAAAGTCGTAAAGAGTTCGATAGAAATGGCTTCATTTGGTTTGTCCGTTAAATGACAAATAATGTGGGGCGTTTGATTAAATGAAGGTTAATCAAATCGCTTAAGCACTTGAGATTGTAAACAGTTTTCTCTCAAAAAGCAAAGTATTATTGCTGATTTTGAAGCTCAGTCAGGGCGAAAACAGCAGCGGAACAGCAAATGAGAGAGAAAATAAGGCGAATTTGAAACTAATTTTTTGTCTTAGGACTGTTTCACACTAGGTCGGCCAACTTGAAGTAATTAGGTACTGACGGTACACACGGCCTCGTTTTCATTAAAACGCACCGTATAACTAGAGTTTATTGGTTCTATATTTTGTCTTTGCAAAGGAGAAACTTTTGGTTGAAATATCATTTAAGAGGTATAATAGGATGCGCAACCTTGCGTTGGATTTAAGAAATGATGCGCCGATTCCACCAACGCCTTTGAGTCCCTTTCCATCTTCTGAAGCAGAGGACTCCGTGATAGAAATCTCACTCAGCCCTTCCAAACTAATGTATTTCTTTTTCTTCGCAAGTGTAGAGGAATTTCCAGCGTTTCCACCAAGGCTGGCTAAGTAACCCTGCAACATGATTGCAAACATCGTAAAAGAGAAGTTCACTCACCTTTAGGTCGTGTGAATCATTTCTCACCCCATTATTTAGAAGGCGACTGAAATTCGTCCTTTGATACATCTATAATTCCAAAAATATTCCCGAGGTAAATAAAGTGCTATGAAAAATGAAAACTATTAAGATCACATTTATGAGTTACATTAACAGATGACTTGAGGGATGGTGGAAAGTTCCCTCATTCTGGAGCAGTTATCACGTAACTGTTGTCATCTCAGTCGAGTGGACTTAAGTATAAACACAATGGTGTTTTACCGCCCGTTATTTGCGCAAAAGTGAGAAAAACTTAGAGGACAATGGACTCGTTCCTCCTCTCAGTTTAAGGAGTTTTCAGGAAAAGGTTATTCAAAACAATTGAATCCAAGACCGTCCGTACCGAATGACGCGGAATCTTAACCCGATCTCCGCACGCAAACCAAGACCTATGACTGAACGTACTATGTTATCAGGTTGGAATTGCGGCAAACGCACAAGATTAGATACAGAAGCCCAGGTCCATATTTCGAAAACGCGTTTCTCATTCAATCGAATGAGGCAATAGTGTAAAAGTCTATCAAAGTTATTTCTATAATATTCAACTGGCTGCATTGACAGAATAATCGCAATTTTTATCGAGCTCATAATTTATTGCCTCCTTTAAACAGGTGATGAGTATGAATTTATAATCCTCACATTGCTTATCATAACTTTGACCGTTACCACTTGAACTTTATTTACTCCAATCTTTGGCAACTGCCAAAGATAAATAAGTTAAGATAGAGCTTGGGATCCCTGCTAGAAAATGGCCCCTCCATAGGCGGGACTTGGAAGGGGCTGGGTGGGGCCAGAGCCCTCTGTGGATTGGAACATTTTGAAGCGTATTTGCATCGAAAGTTATGTTTGAAAAGCACCACTCATTGTACCTTCTTTGGCATTAAAAAAAGTTGATTTATCAAAAGTGGCTTGTAAATCATGAAAAAGCATTCGTTTACGCCCACGGGTCGCGGATAATATCGTGCGTCAACCAATGTTGCTTTCAAGCTCTTAATAACTGTCTTAGTTAATTTATGTATCTTATGCTAATTGTTTGGGTATTTACTCACCAACCAGTTCAAGTAGTCGACTTGTATGTCTTTGTATGCACTAGTTAGTATTGGTGTTCATAGTCCACTTATACAAATTTTTTTATCGTTTTTTACTGAATATCCGAAGTAAGTGTGAAGCATAATAACTCTGGCTCTCACCGAACCACCAGATGAAGGCATATTATGAGGCCACTGAAGAGCCTGAGTCTGAGGTTCCCTGAGCGAGAAATATCTATTCTGAGCTCTGAAACTTCTGCCGGCAGGTATTATGTATGTGCGCCCCAGGGGATTAATCATATAGGTCGATATTTTTAAAGGAGTGCCAAAAGTGGGTGGAAATCTGGCGCCCCTGTACATTTTTTCGTTGGTGGGGCCAGGCGGGGCTGTCGTGTTAAATGCCCCACCAAAGCCCCTTCCACAATCCCGCCTAGCCCCTTCATAGACCCCTCTAGCCCCGCCATTTTTAATGGGACTAGGCGGGGCTGGTGCTTGCAGGGATGCCAAACTGATGGCTTATGTCATCACAAGACAGTAACTGGTAAACCTTAATGATCTCAAACGTATGATCGCACACTGCAGTCGATGACTAACCCATATATTACACTAATGGATACTCGAGATAAGCCGATGGAAAAAAACAAATCACAGCTGTAATCATTCAGCTGGAGACTGTTCGACAAACTAAAAGGGGCTTAGAATGCAGTTCGCGGAAAAGAGTGAAGGGGAGAGCAAAATTGGTCAAAATAACGATTCGAAATGTCCTGTGTGCCAACATTTCTGATTGGCACTCCCAATTGGGAGGTTATCAAGACTGTGATTTAAGTATAAACGCGTCGTGGTATCGTTCGCACTCCCGGCGTGTTTTTATACCGGTATTATTGGAGAATACAAAGCCAAGAAAATAAAACTGCGGTCTAGGAAGAAAATTTTGCGAAATTTTGTGAACGTGATCATTAATTTTATACACAAGGATATCTCTAAATTCGACTAAAAATCTGCGGACAATGTAAAACGTTCGTAATCGCTATGGTAGCGCCGTTTCAAAAAACACTGCTCAAAGTCCTCGCCTAACACGAGGTTTTGCGAAATGAGAACTTTTCTGAGGACAAAACTCGTCTTATTTTCCATAAGATGAATAAATGCGAAAACAAGCAACCCTTTTGAGAATAGCGGGGCGTCTTTGGGTGAATAAAAGTCCCACTCATTGCTAAAATATATTATTAAGTGACATGGCAAAAGAATTAAGGCAGGCCTTTTAGGAATAATTTATTAATAGTTTGGAAGTTAATAAAATAAGTACAACGCCCCCATCTGACTGATCGAGGATCTAATGCGCATCAACCCCAAAGAATGATCAAGTCTGTCATTTTTAGCGGATGGGTCGCACACAACAACGGTGCCTACCCCTTGTTTGTCTGAGGCATATAGAAACAAATTTGCCCTTGCATTACGAAGAGTTCCACCGCAAGCGGTATTAGATAAAAGAGAATGTCCGTCGATCACTGAAGACAAACGATGCACATCACCAGTTACTGTACATGGTCTGAGAGTCTGGGATAAGGAAGATCTTAATCATTTGCCGAGGAACTTATTTTTCGGACGATCACGGTCTGTTCTCGTTGCCATTGAGAAACCAATGGCAATACTAGTTTAAACGGGTTACAGGAGGGCTTTATTTTCCGACCACTACGGCTTTCAGTTAATCTCAATGACTGTGTAAGTGGGCTTGACTGCGTGGAAGTTAGGTTTCCAGAAGAAATGGAAGTATGTCGAGTGATCAAATACAGAAACGGCGAATAATCATCACAATAGGTACTTAACTTCCTATGTGAATTGTCCGACGGGTGGTTGCTGAAGTCTAACCTTGAGAAGTGTGTTGCACTGCGGCTTAAAACGAAAAATGAGGGCAAATGAGATGATCATCATTATCATCTTAACAAAAGGGCCCGCGAAGTGTTGCTGAACAAAGCGCCATTATAATCACCATTGTGTAATCCCTCGATCCCCCTCAAATTGTGAAGGTATTAATTTACTCACAATTTAGCAAAGGCACAAAGAACAGTGCCGAACGACTGGTAAAACCCGCCACACTGACTGCAGGGAAAAAAACCTTGTTTCTCAAAGTTCCCTTTCAAGGGGACGCTGCGAGTGAGCATCTAGGAAGACGCCTTGATCAAACTGTCTCGCGAACCTTCCCAGCAGCATGGGTTCAAATATCATTCTCTACTAAGCCGTTTTTACGTGGGGAAGGTAAGGATAGGTTTTCGTCCAGACCACCTCAGTGTGCATCAATTCCTTTGCTTGCTCTTATGGAGCAGGTTGTACTGGTTGCATGGGTCGGCATCTATCCAAAAGATTACGAGAGCACCTCTACGTATGACCGGGGAAAGGCGAAACTAGGAGCATAATCAGCGCCATTCCTGTGCATGCAGTTTGCTCAGCATATCTTATGAACCCTGGCAAAGCTTTTCCTATGATTCATAAGGTCCCCTCGAGCTACTCTAAGCTTCTGGGTCAGCGTATGCTTACAACGGCAGAAGCGACCGCAATCAGTTTACAGAAACCGAACTAATTCGTCCAAAAGAACCTCGTTCAGTCTCCTCGCTTACTGTGGTTCAAGGTTGATCAGTCACATGCGAGTTCCCGCACACTTCGGCTCTCTCCCCGCCTGTGATTTTAAACTAAATTTTACGATGTTCGGACACTTACATGTTTCACTGTACCCCGCCTCATATAATTGTATCAGTCTGAGTCGAACTTTTCGAAGGCAAGGTATGCTCGCCACCTCGTCTTCTGACTGTAAGCACCATTATTGCATTAAACAAAGGTGTCGTCACCAAAATGATAAGTAACACAGGCTTCCGATATGGTGGGAAGAACCGTCGGTATTGCGTGAGATGGCACGGGTGAGGAATATTTATAAAAAAACAAAGGATTTTACAATGAGATACCGTTCGATAGTTTCATTTTTGTCGTAAAGCGTTTGCTAACGTGCGGATACGAAGTAAAATATACGCACTGGAAGAAGGATTTGCTGTAGCGTCTGAGAAAGACCGAAAATATTAAAAGGACGGTTATTACTACCGTGTAGACAAACTAATCAGTTAGTCTGTCTAAAGGGTTGATGAGGTCTTGCGAGAAAGTCACTCGCCTTGCACACGCGACTTTCGCACTTTATAAGAATGTCTGTTAACTTACAGTGTGTTAGCATTTTAGCGGAAGTTTCAGAGACTAAATTACCTACCCTCTTAAGAAAGAATGCCTATTCCGAGACTTTCTGTGCTGTACTATCAGCACTTGGGGTCGAGGGAACGATTCATTTTGTGACACGCTGCCAGGAACAGATTTCCAAAAGAGGACACACGCCCTCTGTTTAATTGTAAACTCGTCCTCGAAAATTATTACCACAAAAAACAATGGGCTACACCTATTTATTTAGACGTCCACTGAATAAACGTTGCGTTCAGTGCATGGAGATAGTATTCAGTGAAGTTTTGCAAGCGCCGATGTGTAGTGGATCATGCTATGCTTATATTAATGTCAGCTTAAAGCTCTGTCCACCTAGATCACACTATTCAATAACAGCCTGTAGGTAATTGTCTTGTCACTGACGAACGACCTCCGGGATTTGCTGAAGGCAGTTGGGTGATTGGGGCAACTTCGATGTCTCAAATCTCAAAAGGGCACTTTCTCACCTCGTATATCAATGACGAGTGGACAGCCGAAAACAGCAAGTTCATTTTTTGCACGAGTACTGAATATTGTTTTGCTCAAGTTTCGTTCAATGCATGGAGTCAAGACACGCAGACAGAAAGCTTACACCACACACTCACGATAACAAAAATGTAATTTTGGCGGAATATGTTCACAAACACCGCAATTAGACGGACCAGCCAAACGCGTGCACCGGAACGTCGCCGGACCGTTCCTTTTCTAGCAAACAATGAAAATCAGCTAACCTGTATTTATGGCGAATGCAACACATTCAGCAACGACAAC